AAATCTCACTACTGATGAGAGTGTTAACAAATACTTATTGAATATCTACAATATTCCTGGCATTTCTTTACTCATTCACTGCTATCTAGTTGAGCTGATGCTGATTCATAGCAACTAGAGCCTATAGGGCAGGATAGTAAATATTTACTGTAGTAGATAGATAGTACCTTCTTGCTTCCTTCAGAGCAACTGGGGTTTTGAACTGCTGACCTTGCAGTTAGCAGGCCCACTCCTAACCAGTACTCCACCAGGGATCCTTCATTAAATTCTTGAATTCAGTGGGGGAACAGTCTCTGCCCTCAAGGATATTACAAATTAAGCTGGCTTTATTATTCTTCTTTTGCTGTGACCAAAATAAGTCACACTCAATCAAAATTCTTCTTACTTCTTTTTGGAAATTAGAAAGTAAGACAAAATAAATCAACAGTGCACTTCATTTTGTAACAGTTTTGTCTATAGGGTTGCCTGTTGATCCTGTTACACTATCATTGAAATTATCCTTAATCACTTTGTCATTGAAACCTGACCCCTTGCTTCTCTATTTTACTATAGTCCATGAATTGCTTAATTCACACTAGAAAGTTAGCCTTTTACATTTCTACCTGACTTAACTCCAGGCTATGGACAAATGTTACCAACACTCAGCCAGTTTCAAACTGCTTATTCATAAACATAAAATCACAAACATTTACTGAATGCTTAACATATACCTGAGACTGTGAGATGTGCTTAAAAAAGTACAAATGATTCTTAGTCCTAGTTGTGGTTCTACTTTGACAACGAAATTAATCTTGTTTACCTTATCTTGCTCTTGCTTTTCTCTATGACGTTGGACATCAATAAGTATTACAACTGTAGGAGAACTATACTGTCTTCCACATTATACTCTTGGCCCTTAAGCTTCTTACCAGCTGCTTCCCACCAGAATTTCTATATTCCAAACTCCACCTCTCTGGGGAATGCTACATATCAAAACCAATCAACCACCTCTTCGTGGAGCCGGTTCTTCTCAGTCTTGCGTCAAGTACTCACACTACCTGTAGGTTACTGACCCTGTGTGTTTGCAATAAACCAATAGCCCTCACCTTACAGGTGATGTTATGCATTACAGTCTTGAACTTCAAACTTCTCTGAGTACCTGCCAAATTCCAACACAGCTCACTAAATTTTAAAATTACTTTTGTATATGAGGCAATATACATACACATACATAAATATATAAACAAACTACAAAAATAAGGTCATCCTTTTTGGTTCATACTTATGCCCATCATATTGGGAATCACAATAGCTATTTAAGAATAACAATAATCAGAACCGTAACCTAAGCTCACCATGGTAATACCTTAATATTTTTTACTCCATTCATAGCTCTTATCATACACCTTCTTTTACTTCTTTATTTGTCTGCTCATACTAACGATTTCCTCAGCAACTTGTTCCCTCCTTGGTTCCCAAATTTGGCTGATCACTGAAATCACCTGGGGGCCTAATGAAATTACAGATCCCTGGACTCTATTTGCAAGCTAATGAAGCAGAATTGAGAGGAATCCAGGAATCTGTAGTTCTGCTAGATTCCAGGTGATCCCAGTGATCAGCCAACTTTAGGAAGCTAGGTGTTTCCTCTTTAACTGGCTTCCTCAGTACCATTCCTCCTCTGTCTGTAAATAGTACAATTATGCTCCACTTTCTTAAATTATTGACCCCCTGCCCCTTGCCCTACTTTCATTCTCACCTGAAATAAAATAATTTTTGTCTCAGATTTCTGCAAGATTAGGAAATGATAACTGCTTGGTAGCAAACAACTCGCTTTAAGGTAGAATGAAGTTTCTGTGGCCAAATTTTGAATTACAGATTTTATACTAGGTGCACCAACTCTGTCTGCCCCTTGAGAATCACTACTTTGCTGTATTGTAGAGCTAAGTTTATTTTATTACAATGTATAGTTGTGCTGAATCGGAACCGACTTGGAAAAGGGTTTGATTTGGCTGGCTTTTCCCCTGACCCAGCTCTTCTACCTTGCCTGCCCACTAGTTGGTCTCATAGCTGTCCTACGGACAATGTTGCCCTCTTGTGGCTTGAAACTTTCAAGTTAGTAAATTGTCACACATAAAATGTATTTCTCATGTATGAGGGCTTCAAACAATTTATTTAAAAATTCACCATCTTTTCATTCCATTTTATAGATATTTTTGAAGCCCTACTTGTATGTGCAAAATATTTAGTTAACTCTTATTAGCATATAAGACAATTTAAATATTCAAAACATATTTCATTTTATTAGTGAGTGATAATGTTAACGATAGCCTTATTTTAGGTAGACTCAAACAAGCTAACAGCATATGACAGAAATATATAAATGAAAAAAAACAAAAATTAATAAGAGAAGTACTAGAAAAATCTGTACACTACAAGAATAAAATCCAAGGCCCAAACCAAAATTCCCCTTACTCTAATCCCATCAATTCTGCCTCATAAAGCGCCTTGAAGCCAGAGCCTTTGGGTTCCCTAGGCTGGACATTTCAGCAGACAGTCTCGTCTTCTCGGCCACTTAAATGCACAGCCCAGCGTCCACTGCATTGCTCTCACCTTAGAAATGATGTCATGCAAGTTAAACGTGGTGACTGCAGAGGACCCCACTTATTTTCTTTTTCACGTTTTCCACCTTTTATCTTACCTTGAATGCTTCTAATTTGCATAAGTATTGTGAAGGAGAGTAAGCGGAAAGAGTGCGAGATCTAAAGATAATCACTACTTTTGATATTTCCCCTTTTAAATTTTGAGAAAAGAAAGACCATTTTGGTTTCATCAAACCAATAGAATGCTGACGGAACCAAGGCCCAACAAATTCCAGCACAGACGCAATTCTGTTTCCTACCATTAGCACTATCATAACACTCCTAAGAATTACACAATTGCTTTTCAGGATTGTTTTCACCTAACAGGATCATGCTTCATGACCACTATCAAAATGTGAAATTTAAGATGTGGTTGTAACTTAGATGTTCCTTTTCATATGTTAACCTCTCCTGCCCCCTTGTGACTACTGAACGGAAAACCACACTCATGCTAACTGCCCCAGAGAGTTCTGACTGAGTGATCCTATAGGACAAAATCGAATGGTCCCTTTGGGTTGTGGAGGCTATAACTCATTGGGGGAGTGGACAGGCTCTTTTTCCTTGCAGTTAATAGTCCAACAAGTAACTCATTACGACATCAGCTCCTCTGTGACTAATAAAAGGAGTTTTAAAATTAAAGCAATGCTTTTCATGCCGTTAATGAATGTGTGAGTCTATATTCCTAAAAGAGCTGTGGTGGTACCATGGTTAAGCATTCAGCTGCCAACCGAAAGGTCCACAGTTCAAACCTGCCTCATTGCTCTGCAGAAGAAAAGATGTGGCAATGGGCTCCTGTACTGATGTATCTAGTCTGGGAAGCCCTCTGGACAGTTTGATTCTGTGAATCAGAATCAACTCAGCAGCAAATAAAAACAGCAACACACATTCCTTATTGAATGATGTGTTAAAAAGTATTATTTACTAAGATGAATCATCAAAAATATTCCTAGTTTATCAAACATTCACCTCTTCCATTGCAAGAATTAGGAGAAATCTGCTAGATTCCAACAGACCCATGTTGGAATCTAGCAGGATAAATTGGTCCTCGGTCTTGAATCCTGCAAGCTATTGCAAAACCTGTACGTATCTAAAAGAAGGAAATTTAGCAAACTTTCTTGAACACCAAGGTTGTTGGTTGTCATCAAATCATCTCTCACTGATTTACATGGTAAATAGGTGATAATTACTTTTCAAATATTTATTGAATCAGTTCTTAAACTTCTTCTGATATTTGAACTTGTCCCAGGAGTTTCAGAAACTATCTTTCCCAGAACTAGTATTCAAAGAATGTTTATTGATACTGTGGAAGATGAGTCAGGAGCATACAGAAAAGCATTAAATGAGTTTATCAAACTACCCTGGTTTATTACATTACATTCCTAATCCCCAGGGCTAAAATAGAGTCTCATTATTGTTAGGGGTTTGGAGTTACTATTTCACTGAGAGAACTGTCTAATAGCAGTCAGCACACAAAGCCCTGAGGCACCTATTAGGAGTTTAGAAAAGAATTAAGAGCACAAGAGCACAGCCAGTTTGGGGGAAAAAATTAGAGCATTTTATATTCTTTAAAATGCTTAAAATATCAGTATTTTAAGACTGATTATATTTTAATACACACACATATAATTTCAAAAAATAAAAGAAAAATGTTAAGATACCAATAACAATAAGAAAGCATTTTTAAATACACAAATTAATCACTAATAAATTACCAATGGCTAATGAAGTGATGGCTCAAAAAATAGCACACATTCCTGATAAACAAGCAGTATTTCAGCTACTGGTAGATTATTTATGCTTAATAAATATGTAAGTATATGTCCTTAGAATATTTCTATAGAAATATTCCTTATAGGTAACAAATATAAATATAAACATAAAAATATGTTTCTTATATATATATGTCCTTGAGCTAAAACTGTAAGTATAGAGTTTTTGTTCTTCTGACAAGTAATGGTAATGTATGGAAATATTTCACTGACAATAAAAATATCTAATGAACAAAAGTCTAAAAATACTACAAAATAGATCAGGTTAATGATATTGAGCCTATGAATCCATAAATAATATATATACATACATATGTACCCATTTTATAATCTATTAAAATTATATGAACTACCCAGTAAGTGCAAAATAAATTCAAGACAATAAGCAAAAACACAAATCATTTTAATCGCTTTAATTAGCGATGCTGTATCACCATAACTTGCAGTTTCTTGCCCTGGCCTCTATCAACTACTTCACATATTAAGTAATTAAACTAAAATGATTAGAGGAGTCCAGAGAAAGGCAGCTGCCGTGACGAGTAGCCTGGCAGAAAGAGAAGGGACCTGCGAGCATTTCCCGAGGTCTGCAGCCCACGAAAGCCTGAAGCTGCGCTCCTTTTCGTCCCCAAGCAAGTCAGGCTGCACGGTCGTCAGAGCTCACACTCCTACAACGGATGGATTTACTCAGCTGGTTTACTGAACAACAACGCAACTTAAAAACACACAAAAGAATAAGCGCATGAAGGATACTCTTTAGAATCAACACTTTCCAAACCAACACAGCTTAGAAACAAATTATAATGTAATTCTCAGGGCACAATAGATACAAAACTCAATAGCAAAGTAGAGAAGAGAGTGAAAAGTGCAATTAAGAATACAGCAAGTCAGTTAATGTAATAACATACATTTCCCCAAGTTTTCTTAAGTGTTTCCACCATAAATCATTACCATAGATATGTTCAGATTGAACATGCATTTCTGCTCATATTAAATATAACTGGGAAATATGGCTTAAAAGAATTAGTCTTCAACATTACACACATGGTTATTATTCCAAAAGCACTGATTACTCACCTTTCTTTTCCCTTATCCTCTTGGATTTCATTTTCTGAGCTCTCTTCAGCATTTGCTGAGCAGTAGAAATATCCTTAAAGCCCCTATTAAGATATGAAATTAAATAAGGATAAAACAAATACAGCAATAAATACCTATTAAAGAAAAGTCTGATTTAATCAGATGATTGATTTATTAAAAATTCATAGAGGTATTCTTGAAATCTTTAAAATTACATTAGTCTTTTGTTTAAAAAATAGTGTAAAACATGTCACATACCATTCTTCTGAAATTTTTTTTTCTCTTTCAGATTTTAGCAAACTTTTTCTACCAGTCTTTGATTCAGGTGTCCAAGATAAAGCCCTGCTTTCTGATCTGGTCAGAGATAAAAAGCCAACGTTCATTGATTCAGCATTAAGTCTGCTAGCACTTTTCAAAACGACAAGCTGTTTATGTGGTCTCAAACATGGAAATAAAATCTGCTTAAGTTACAGAAAACTCCTTATCTTGAAAAGTATTAAAAGTCCTCCATTAATTTTAAATGTTTACATTTCAATTACTTAAAGCATATTTCAATCCTTTTATCAAAAGGAATGCAGCACAGATTTTTATTTTTATTTTACTTCTTATCTTTTTCTATGTAAGTAAGCAAAGGTCTACTTTCTTCCTTGACACTTAATTACATTGTTTCAATGACATTCAGGATTTTCAGTTGTTTTACTACTCCTGCATGTCACATTTTTCACACACTAAAAACTCCCTAAAATCATTCTGGTACTTTTCAACATTAAACATTTTCCATCTTTTAAAACAAGTCGATTTTCACGTATTCACCATTTTACTTCCTACTTGCATAGGGAATTCACTTTTTTCATCATTGATGAGTAGATCTTCTACAAAAATAGTTGAACTTACCTATTATTAAACTGAGTGTGTTCTGGTGAGAACATATTTTCTTTCTCATTGCATAACCATGCCTGAGCTGGATGACTTGGCAAATTAAGTGAAGTGTCATCATATTTGTATGTTCCAGGGTACTAGCATGAAGAAAATGTTAGTAAAATTGAAAATTCTAGCATTTACCTTATATTACATTTACATGAATATTACCAAGGAGCCTCTTAAAGCAATACTCATTATAAATTTTAAGTTGCAACAAAGTAAAATTTAGGAAATATACACAGTCTCCTTTGATGTAGTGACAAGAGTTATGTGTTGTGGTATAATCTGCATATACAAAATGATTTATTGCAAAGATCTAAAAAAATCTTAGAAAACAAAAACTTCAAAGATTATCAGATAAATAACAGATATTGCAGTTCATTGACCTCTGACTGAGAATCTTCAGCTGTTGCCCTTTTAATGCATCTTTTTCGTATTCTTAAAGCGCTGTCAACTAGTGATTTTAGTCTCCTGCCAAATATGCAGCTGAAGCACATCATTTTTTTTTTGCTACTGTGAAATAAAGTGTTGAAAGAAATCCAAAATAAAGAAAAAAAGTAGAAGCAAATGAAAGAAAAGCTACATGAAAAATTGCATCTGGGGATGAGGAAGAAGTCAGGGGCTTTTAAAAGTAATTGTGTTTTTCAAGTCAATAAATTGTATTATTAATCACTGCAGCATAGCATACCCTTAAGAAATGAGCAAAGATCGAGCACTAAGAAGTTTCTGTGACATGTTACCTTTGGCCAATGCAGCTGGCTCGGCAGCAGTTGTGTTTGTGAAGGGAAGCGGGAGGAATCTAATGCTAGCCATTCTTTCTCGAAGGCAGCCTGCACAGATAATAACATTAAGTTGTATACAGTTTAGTGTTTATGATTTTTACACAGTATCTTTCAAATTCTTACAAACTAACAATATTAAGGAATACATCATAATTTATATTTACAAAAAAGCTTAGTAGCTGCATCTCTACCATATAATCCATTTCTTTAGTGCAAATATAGTAAAAAAATAAATAAAACAGGGACAACCACTTTCCTTCCTCCTAACCTAGAAAAAAGAACTTGAGTTCTGTGAAAAGCGCTGGGATGCAGATTGCTTACTTTCACTTGTCCGGAGTCTTTAACTGTTTCATAACTGTGCCTCTGAGACAACTTTTGACATAGCAGATGAAAAAGACTATCTCTTCATAATGCAAATTATATCACACTTCATTATTAAAGCATATTACTCTACATTTATGAGTGTCAATTTTCTATAAACACTAACAGGTAGATTTTGATTTGTTTTTCAAATTTTCTAAATAAAAATTATTTTGTGACAATAAATATAGCAATATATGAAACAATTCCTTATGTCATCATCTGTATATTATTCAATTTTTTAAATGACAAAATTATATATTAACATTATTTTACTTTGGAAATTATCCTCTTTTAAATAATTTTTCTTAAAATATTTTTCTTCCAGTTTAGGAATTTTCAAATTCTTTTTTCTACAATGGAACTAAACGTTATACTAAAATTGTATAACACTAGTTAGGATATAATCAAAATTGTATTTGCATGGATTGACTAATATGGCTGAGAGTAAATTTTTCTGGTTCTGTAATGTTTTTCGATCTTTATGCTAAAAGATAATCACAGTATTAACCTATTTTGCAGAGAAGATTCTAAAATTAATAAACATATTTATATTTGGTTTAAAACTAGAATAGTTACATTGTGAGATAATGCGATTTGCATTTCAGTGTTTACTATTTTGTGACAACCTTTTGAAACATCTTTTAGGAAGCAAGGTTAAACCATCCTGACTATACATGAATATTAATATATGGTATTATAGTAATAAATAAATGTATTTATTCATAGTCCAGCTGTCACATGAATATGTGACAAACTTTTCCTTAGAGCATTCAGTCTTTCAAAATTTAACCAAATTCTTATTACTTGATTATCTATGTGAATAAAACGTGTGTTCAGTGGTTAAGAACATTGTCAAATTCCTTCTAGTCAAGATTATTAAATAAATATATGTTAGAGTCAGAATTAGAGAGGGAAAAACTCATTTGTTTATAAAAATATACAAAGAGGTTTTTTTTAATCGAATGGCACATATTATCAATCAAAAAAATAAGGTTCCAAATGAGTATATTTATTTATAATGGATATATTAGGAGTTTTAACATCAAAGAACCAGTATCTAGTTTAAGAACGGCTATTTGATGTGAAACTGTGAATAAGATCCAGGGCTCAGACTTTTTCATTCTTCCTTTTGTCTAATAAAGAAAGGACAATCCAGATGTAGCGAGGGAAGATCAAGGCGGGAATAAGTCTATTTTTCTGCGCTACCATCAAATCAATATATACAGTCAGGAGAAAAGCACAGAGATGAGGAGATGTGAAGGGGTTAAGAGGCAAAAGTCAATGCGCCACCTGAGAAGTGGTTGTGGAAAAGAGTCAGGGTTGCCAGGGAAGGGCCTGCTGTTTATACTGGGTTTACATTAAACACAGAATTTAATTTTTTCTCCTTAAATACCTGCAACACTACCTCCTCTTAATACTATCTGATACTGTAGTTGTTTTTTCTCTCCGCAGCAGGACAATATTACATAATGCATGTGACCTTTATCCAGTTTACATAGATTTTAATAGGGATTTTTTTCTTGGAAAAGTGATATGTCTTGGACAAATTCCATGCCTTTATACTGATATATAAAAATGCATAGAACTTTCATAATACTTTATTCAAACTCAAACCTTTGTATTAGTTTTGAGAGTTATGTCCAAAGTTTTCTAAGTTTGCACAGTAATTTTTGAATCACTATCTCTGAAATTTCTAGAAGCATACAGGGGAAGTTTAGTGTAAAATGCTAAAGATGCTTTTAGTAATAATCATATAGTCACAAATATAATACCAATACTACTGAATTATATGAGTTCAACCTTATTAATATCAAATATATTTGGCAGTAGATCATTAGCAAAAAAGACTCTAAAAATGTCAGGAGGAATTGACCAAGAGTTATAACTATTCCACTGTTAAAAAACGAATGTTACTATATCATGCTTACTACTGAATATTTATACAAAGTTCAGTTATTGCTCAAGGAAACCTTGTGTTCAGAATTTCTTTAACTTAACACTCCAGCTATAGAAGGCTTCTGTTTATTTTGAGAATTATATTAAACTTAACTATATATTAAAACTGAACTTGAACTTGGCAGATATGTAACTGATCAGACATACATGTATTTGCTTTTGATCAGGAAAGAATTGCTCTATTATAATCCAACTTTGACTAGAAATTAAAACTACTAGGAAGAGGAGATAAAAATAACGTTTATGTTTATATGTGCATGTAAAATTTTTCATGCCATCTACTATTATCCTTCCACTGACACATAAAGACATGAGGACCGGACTTGCCCTTAGCTATAAGTTGGTAGCTTGTAGGTTTCAGACAGTTACTCCAGAGCTAAAAGTTGCCTACCTTGAAACATTTTCCTATGTATTAATACTTTTTATTATTATGTCTTATTATGGGAGCTTAATAAGAAAGCAATTCTCAAAAGTATCTCACATTTCTGCACATCTTGTGACAACTCTAATGCCAGACTGGTTCTGTTTACATATTTGTATGTTTAACAGCTTCAATATTTTCAGTCCCCTCATATACATGTGAAAGCTGGATAATAAATAAGGAAAAGTGGAGTAAAATGTATGCATTGGAATTTTGATTGTGGCAAAGAATATTGAAAGTACCATGGACTGCTAGAAGCACAAATAAATCTGTCTTTAAAGGAGTACACTGAGAATGCTCGTTACAAGGGCAGACGGTAAGACTTCTCTCATGTACTTGGAACCTGTCATTAGGAGAGATCAGTCCCTGCAAAAGGACATCACCTTCCAAGATTTGGATTGACACAGTGACTGCCACAGCGGGCTAAAACATAACAATGGTGAGGATGGCACAGGGCTGGACAGTATTTACTACTGTTGCTCACAGTGTTGTTACGAGTTGACACTGATTCCATGGCACGAAACAAAAAGAACAGCTTTGAAGAGAACGCGTTTCCCTCTGGGGTGAAACAGCACACCCCCATGGGGTTTGGAGGATAGCTGTAATCAAAAGCATGGAAACTTGGTGGCACTTTTTACACACTCACAGTCAAAGGAGGGAGATAAAGGGGACTTTGTGTGCCAATTTCACATAATGTTGAATGGATAGTAGAAATTGATGTAAGATATGCTTTACTTTGTCTTGTACATGATAGAAGGAATTATCTCAAGAGAGGAAGAACTATAGGCAGAGAAGTTCCAGTAAGGAAAACACTCTTGATATTTGCGCCCCCAGGATTTAGTGTGAGACCTTCTACCTTCTATTCTATAACTTTCACCGAATTGATGATATCCTGTTGGTCTACAGGGGAAAATTTTAGGTGGATTATACAAGGGTAAGAAAAAAATCCGTTGCTACTAAAATTCTAGTTCACAAACACATGCATATATTTCAGTATTCAAACATGTTTGTGATTAATTGATGGCTGTAGACAAGTTCTCTCAAAAATACCATTATTTAAGTCTCCTTACAATCCCTAAAGAATATATACTGAAAAAAGGCACAGAGAAAAAGTCAGTTAGCTCAATGAGCTGATCTTTTTATCAGTCTTTTAAGTTAAGTCAAAGCAAATGATGCGTATTTTATGGAATGAATGGTAACGAAGGACAATCTTAGAGTCGCCAATCAATCTGGAGAGTGGGGGGAGCTGTTGGCCAGTTAAATTTAAGGCAGAGAAGTTCAGGAAGTTATGAAGACTCATTTTTGTTTTCCATGGGATTTTCTTGATACATTTTCTTGAAGGATGCAAAATGAGGGCTTGTTAGGAAAAAAATTCCAAGAACACTGAAAGTTGCATTGGTGAGAAAAAGGCCAGGCAAGTTCACGGAAATACTTTTTCCATCACCACAATGAACTTACTCATTCTTTGGGGGTATCCAGGGATGTCCTATGAGAATATCATTAAGGAACCTCACCCCGTGCGCCATATCTCCCACATCTTGTCCCTTGAGACTTCTTTTAATTCCCCAAACTCAAAGAACATTGAAAGAGAACATGACTTGAATGCCTAGTGGATGCCAATATGGCCATTTTGACATCATGTAAATTGATACGGAGCTGATTACGACTCAAGGCAGTCTCGTGTGGCTTTCCAAGGCTATGGACATGGACCGTCAAATAAAACTGCAGTCTCCGCAGCCCTTTACGAAGGAAGGATGCCCGGCACCTGACTGAACCTCATGGACAATGGGATCTAGATAAGCCACGGTTACTGGTCATTTTATTCATTGGAGTCACTTACAAGAAAGAGGGCATCCATCTGGAAACTTCCATAGAGTTTTGGACTGATGCTCACCAGCTATCAGCTGGTAACTGAACTCTTGTGACTCTTTAAATAGATATTTCCACTTTGGGTGAGTTATCTCAAACTAACTGACTAAAGATGGGGGTGTCCCCAACTGTTTCATTTGTCAACTGGAAAGCGAACAACAACAACAACAACAAAACACAGCTGCCCTGGCCCAAGTGCTTCTCAGCTTTACATGAAAAAAAAAAAAAAAAAGGCAGCTATTCCATTGGGAAAACTTTATTCTTCTTTACACTCCTTAAAACAAGATTACAGATTCAGCGGGGCCCTCATTTCAATCAAGTTTTTCTAAAAGACTGAACCTGTTTGAGGGATTTTTACCTAAATGGAATCTGACGGACTTTTGGGCTATTGCCAATAACCTAATAGTTTGGTTTGGCATGTGGAAATAGACAGATAACA